AATAAGTTAGTTGGAGCAGAGGCACACAACTGAAATTGTGAAAAGTTAGAAGTCTGGTAAAATAGCCTATCAGTGTTTGCTGCAAAAACACCCTCTCCAGTTATTTTGTTGGTTCTCTGAAGAACAGACTGAGATAAAGTAGTGAAATTTAAGGCAGAAAATACAGCATGCATATCCTCTAGGAATTGGAAGGCCAAACCCGCAAACAGATAAAACACAGAGCAGACAGTGGGGTATTACTGAGGTCCTCAGAGGAGTGTCATTGTTATACCCCTAATTTGACCTCACGGGCTTCTTTCTCAGTTTTACCAGGAAGCTCCTTTTCCACTACACAATCATTTTACAGATGTCCTATTTCCCAAAAAGTTAAATACCTAACTACCATGTGTCTCAGTCATTCTACTCCTAGGTAGTTGCCTAAGAAAAATTAAAGTATATGCCCATACAAGACATACACAAATGTTCATAGTAGCTTTATTTTTAAGAGCCAGCTCAGGCATGGTGGCTCACACCTATAATTTCAGCACTTTGGGAGGCTAAGATGGGTAAATCACTTGAGGTCAGAAGTTTGAGACCAGCCTAGCTAATATGGCAAAACCCTGTCTCCACTAAAAATACAAAGAGTCAGGTGTGGTGGTGTGAATCTGTAATCCCAGCCTCTTGAGAGGCTGAGAAAGGAGAATCACTTGAACCTGGGCGGCCAAGGTTGCAGTTAGCTGAGATTGCACCACTGCACTCCAGCCTGGGCAACAGAGACTCGGTTTCAAAAGAAACAACCTGAATGCCTATCAGCAGGTGAATGCGTAAGCAAATTGTATATATCCATACAATAGTCATGCAGTAGAACACTCAGCAATACAAACGAGCAAACTTTTCATAAATGCAACAACATGGATGGATCTCCAAATAATTATGCTGACTAAAAGAAGCCAGACAAGAAATAGTTTACAGCATATGATCCTAATTAAATAAAATTTTTGAAAATGCATATTAGTGACAGAGAGCAGATTAGTGGCTTCCATGGGATTGATTCCAACAGGCCATGAGGAAATGTTACGAAGTGATGGTGATAGGTGGGCGATTGCTGTGATGGATTCATGAGTATATACGTGCGTCAAAAGTCACCAAATTGAACATTTTATGTATGTTCAGTCGATTATACCTCAATAAATCTTTTTGTAAAATCCAGGGTCATCAAGCCCATAAGTAGCTTTTCCACCATAGGGCTCTCTAGCAGCTCCATGGGCAATTCAATCAGGTGTTCTCAATGGGAATTACCCAAATACATAAAGAGCACCCAATGGTAAGATGCAAGTAAAATGCAGATGTCCCACCTTCCAGTATAAATCTTTCCTCTTATCAAACTCCTAGTGAGAAAATTAAGTCTATATATTGTTACCTTTCAAGTTAATGTACAAAGACAAAAATAATCAAATTCTCTCACTGTAATCAGGTAAAAGTTTAATAAAATTAAAGTCCTTCCCAGTTTCTTATTGTATTCACTCACAGGCACAAATGTGCTTAATGCCTCTGAGCATTCCTTCAGTAGCTGCCGCCTGGGTGTCTTTTATGGATATGGATACAACACATTCATTCAGCACCTCAAAAGTTAAATTAACAACTCTATGGTACGCCTCAACTTACAAAAGCTCTGAAAATTTAATAAAACACCTAAGAACAATACTTGCCTTATACTCACCAAATTTAAAAGGCAGTTGTCCTGTACAAAATTATGCTCCCAGAACTCAGTAGAATTTACTGCCAAACACAACATGTAGCAGAAACTCTATAGTAGGAACTCATGAATCTGTAGAGGGAGGATAACCAGCAATCGCTTTAGCCTCATCAAAATGCCGGTCACATGAGCTGCACACTTAAACTAAGGTGGAATAAATTTGTCATCAAGAAGTTAAACTTTTCATCATGCATTTAGCATGGCACACTGTATCTTCTCTTTCACAAAGTGTCATTTGAAGCACTGATGCTATCTTACAAAGTATAGAATTTGCAGTGGTGCAGTCCCAATCACCAAATCAAAGGAGACCTGATCTTTCCACAGTATGTTCAAATCTCTTCATCATCAAAAAAATTTTTACACTGCATTTCAATGACTCTCAGAACAATTTAAACCTTGAGCTTTTCTAGAACTTTATCCTGCATCCAAGTCACATCTGCCTTTAAAAGTAGCAAATACTGATAGTCATTAACATCTAGCATAGCTATGAATATTCCTTTTTCTATCATTAAATGATTGCCTTGAATAAAATTGTTTTCTGGTGTCTTAGCAGCATCTGATGAGGCCCCTGCTGCTCATACATGCATATTTAATGTAGGCCAAGGTCAAGCTGCAGCAGCCTGCATGAGACCACTTGCACATGCCAGTGCCTTTGTTGATGCCAGCACCACTAGAGTAGCCTGCCAAGCCTCATCTTGGGCTGGCATCTGGTGAGGACATTCATGAGACCAGTGTTTGAGTGAGCCCCACTTGCACATTGTCTTTGCTGAAGCCAGTATGTCTCCATTTCCCCGACTCAAATTCTGCTTCATTGAGGCCTGCATAGATGTGCTTAAAGCCCTGTATTACACTGTCTCTATAGAAATTACCAATTTCTCTGGACAAAGATACCCTAAACTTTTAGGTCTAAATCCCATGTGCCTTAAGTCTTAAAGCTTCTTGCCAAAACCACAACTAAAAGCCTACTTCAAAAAAAAATCCAAATAGTCCTAATAAAAGCCTCTACAAACTACCAAGATCAAAGCTCCCTATGTACACATTAAGGTCTGAAACCAGAAACCATCAGCTCTGGCCACAATTAAGCCTCTCTACTTCTATGTTGTGCTCCTTCAAATTTTATTTCTATTTCTTGATGTACTTACCCATACAACACAATTTTCTAGATATATTTTCCAAAACAGGCCTCTTTCCTGCCATGTCCAACCCCCTTCTACTCTTCATCAATAGAGCCTGTTCTTCACTTATGGTATTAAAATAGCAATTAAGAGTATATGCACTCTGCTAACAGCAGAGGTCCTCCTCCCAAACATCTATTTTTTACTTTACCTCCCCTGGGTGGAACAAGTGGGACAAGAAGTGAGGAAACTATGTTAGGATGATGGTGTCTTCTCCATATGGAAGAAACAATAGGAACTGATAGGAAGTATTACCCCCATCAGTAATAATGTACATATTCTTTGTAACTATTTATTAAATATTTAAATACATACCAAGCTTGCTTCCCTTTGAAACTTTCCTCATGCTCTTTTACTTCTTTTTAGTCTTGAAGGCTTTCCTCAAATGCTATTTCACACATGAAACTTTCTCTAATTTCTTAAACCAAACAAAGCCTTTCTTCTCTGAGGCCCTGGTCCAACATTTTTAAAGTGTGGCGAGGAGCAACCACAGCAGAATCACCAGTGTTGCCTGTTAAAACATCTATGCAACAATCTTGCATGTTCTTCACATGTACCCCAAAACCTAAAATGCAATAAAAAACAAAAACAAAAACAAAAACAAATCTATTACTAGGCCCATCTACAGTATCCAAATTTCTTAGTCTAGGGTCATCAAACATGCCTCTTAAGAAGCTCCTAGGCCAGGCACAGTGGTTCACACCTATAATCTCGGCACTTTGTGGCCAAGATTGATACAGGAGGATCCCTGAGGCCAGTTCAAAACCAGCCTGGGCAAGGCTGAACATGGCGAGACTTCATCTCTAAAGAAAAATGTTAGCCAGGTGTGGTGGCATGCACCTATAGACCCGGCTACTCATGAGGCTGAGCAGGATCACTCGAGCCCAGGAGTATGAGGCTGCAGTGAGCCACGATCATACCACTGCACTCCAGCTTGGGCAAGAGATAGTTTCTAAAATTAAAAAAATATACAAAGTTTCCTGGGTGCTTCATTGATGCATTAAAATCTAAACCGTTTGCTTTATCTGATTGTCCCTGATTACTTTTTCCCCTATTATATCTTACTTGGCATTTATTCCTCTACAAGAACTTTGTAATTTTTCTTTTTTTTTTTTTTTAAAGAATAACTCCTTAACATAAACCTTGTATAAAGTAGCTGTTTAACAAAGTTGTTAAAATGAACATAACTTTCACTTGTCTCTCCAAAGGACTAGATCTCCTTCCATGTTTTGTTATGATAAAGTGTCTAAATGTGAAAATGCATACAAATTATAAAGCAATTTATTGAAATAATTTATCCTGGATCATGATGTACTCTCTTCACCAATGTAGCCAAATTTAGGCTTTCTGGGCTGCTTATTTTAAATGCAATATCGTGCAATGCAAATTTCTAAGCATTGCTTTTCTGTGCAGTAAAAAGTTCAGTGTTATCTAAGCACTTCCTACTGATCTTTAAATATATAATTTTTTATATAGAAATTACCATATATTTTTTTATATAGAAATACAGTGTAAGAGCTCCCTAAAAGCTTAATGCAATTTTCTGACTCTATTTGCTATCATTTATACAATTTTATCATTCAATATTTGGCAAGAATTATTGGTCAGTTCTTTTTGCTTACAATGACTATATATAGCCAAGCCTTTCTCATTCTACTGCAATTTCCAAAGCATGAGAAGCAGTTATCCCCGTGGTTAACCTTAGCTCACATGGGTAGCAACAAGGGAGACACAGAGATAATGTTCTTAAAGCATAGAGTCCACAGGAACTGGAAAGCTTAATTCTTGCTGTGACACTGCAGGGTTTCTGTCATCATTTAAAAGACCTTACACTAACAAACCATGTACTTCAATTTAAGGGAATGTTTACAAATATCAGACTCTGAGTTCACTGATTTATCAAGGTCACTTTGTTATATGGTGAGGGCAGTTTATTTCAGCACCCATTCACCTTGCCAACATGTACTTAATTTAAAATAAATAGTCCAAGGGAAGTCTTTGCCTCCCTCATCATTAAAATGAATTTTAAAACCACATAACTGATTACTAAATTGAAACATTCCACTGAAATGCTTCATTGATAGCTCTGATTCCTTATTTTTAAAACATTTTATTTCCTATAAATTTCATATGGAAACAGAAGTATTACATCATGCTTGGGACTGTCTTGCAAATAGGAGGTTCTTTCAGTTCTTCAGGCCAACCTTCCTACAGAGGCAAATAAATAAGACATGTATGTAGAACATACATAGAAAGTTTTTTTACCAGAATAAAAATATGTGAACATTTTCTATCTAGGATAGTTTAGCAATCCAGTTTATGCTGACAAATTTAGTTCATTGCTGGAAGGCACTTGTCACAGAAGAACACAATAAGCAGCAGACATTTTAACTTGTAAGAACAAAATATTTAACTTTTTTCTTGAATTTTTTGAAGAAGGTACTCCATTTGTAAATTCAAGTTTGGTTGGCCCTTTTTAGTCTTTTTGTTCAATATTTTAAACACTTCCATTTTCTTCCTTTTGTACCTCCTTTGGGCTTCTTCTCTCTCCTGTTTTCTCCTCTCGAATTCCTAAAATGATTAACATATGTAATTTTCATTAGTGACAAACAGTGGAATACAGTTCAAAAACTGTTTTGAAATAGCTATTACTAAGCAAACACTCTAAGGTTTGTCTATTTTGCAAGATGTGCACTGTTTCCCATAGTTGAAGCAAAGCACCCTCTTTGCCTTCACTTTATAACAATACATGTTATAATAGGAAATTTTCATGATCACAAAGCCCCAGCTCTATATAAAGGAAATTTTAAGAGGACACTAAATGTTTTACAGCATAATGGTCATTACCACACTTCATCTGATATACTTTTTCCAAAGGTGGCAAATGGTTTGAAAAAAGCATAAAGCTGTGCTAGTTAATGCTGGTCTAGTATTCCCATGGAGAAATTTTTTGCTTTCTCCTTATCTGCCAACAGCTTAAGAACAATGAAAACATTTTAGATGTGAAGATTTCTTAATTACAGATATTCTAAAGCAAAAACAAGCAAAATTATGTATCATCTTTGAGGTATTTTTGACTGATACACTATCCTTTTTAAAGTTACAGATTAATAAAACTTCAATGCAAAAACAAGAACTACCACAGTTTCAACAAAATGACAATTTTGTTGAGGCTGTGGGTAATTTCATTGTATTCATTTGAAAAAATGTCTCATTCTGTTCTACAATTCTGGTTTTTTAAATAACAGAGTGCTAACTTTTGCTAAGTTAAAACAGTATTTTTTTTTTTTTTTTTTTAAAACAGGCAAAACCACCTCTTTATATAGTAAAGAAGTATTTTATTCTAACGCCTCCCCTTTTGCTTTTAGTTGCTTCAATACAATGTTATAAAAAACATCCCTATTTTTATGTCAGTGGTTCTCAAGTTTTATTATACATAAAATTATACACAAAAATTTCTTGAGGTGCTTGTTAACACCATAATGGACCATACTTAGACAAACTTTGTCCCAGATGTTCATATTATTAACCTATAAACAACGTGTTTAAAATCATGTTCTTGACCTACTAGCATTGCTTGAGATAAGTAATACAAGCAAGGAATTTGAATATGATGCAATCCTCAACCTTTGCTCAGATCACTCATTCATTTAACAAACATTTACAGAGAGAATACAGCACCAAGAAGCACAACAGATGTAGTATACATATTTAGGATAAATAAGAAAAATTATACTAAATATTTTTAAAGAACTTACTTGTTTCTTAGCAGCACGTTTAGCTTGTATCTGTTCATATTCTTCTTGTGCTTTTTGATTTGATGTTTTCTTTTTATTTTTCTGTGGAACTGTGAAGGAGCTTTTAATTGGGGGACAAAGAAACAAGACTTTATTAGTAAAATGTTTGAAAAGGTATTAAAAACACACTTGCAGCTTTTAAGAGTACACATTAACTAAAAGGCACAAATGAGGATTCTTACAGAAATATTTCAACTAGGAAAAAATATAGAAAGCTATGAAAGATCCTAAAATGTTTTTTAAAAATGTAAAACAAATGAAACCAGTAAATGAATGACAGAAATGCCAGACTGAAAAAGGAATTAAATTTATGGGATGTTAAGAAAATTATGTGTATATATGAACTTTAATCTCAAAGTTTTCTGACCCCCTCCACTCTATTCCATTTCATCTACTTAGTCATGAATCACCATTACCTTGGACCTAGACACCATTTCCAACTGTTCTATCTTTTAAGTACTTCTCACTTCTCTGAAGGTTTCCTTTTTGCCAAGGCTAATTCAACTACTTGGAATTCCATGCATTTCCTCAGTATCTTTGATTCAGTAATAACTTTCCTCTGTCACTCAACTTTTCACTATACTCTACAACTACAATGTAGTATTTTAATATAGCTACCTTCTTAAACAAATGAATTACCCATCATCAGACTTCATGTCCCCTTTCAACTATCAATTTTGTTTCCTGACCTTTGCAAGTTTCTAGAAAGATTAGTGAAAAGACTATGATTGTCACTTCCCATTTGCTCCTTGATTTTTTGATATCTGATTTCTGCTTCTCACCACTCAAATCAAACTGCCCATGCCAAGACAGTGATGAGCTTCTAGCAGCCAGATATGATGATCAATGGGAACTTTTAGTCTTTTTTAATGGACTACACACATTACTCCTGAAAATTCCACTCTCTCAGTGTGAGTCACATTCTTTTCTCCTGATCTGTTCTAATTGTTTCTTCTTAGTCTGCCAAGCTAGAGCCTCTTTGTCTTCCTCAATGCAGATTTTTCCCCCAAGTTGTTTCTCTTCTTAGTCTCTATACTCCACTTGTGTTTGAGCTGTCAGATCTATGACCATGACTTCAGATGCCACATGTATGTATGGCTGAAAGCTTAATCAGGGACTATCTATTGAAAATCTCTCCAAAGTCACTAGTGACTGCCTAGTCCACAAATCCAGGGACCTGTTCTCAGTCCTAATCCCCTTAAGCTTTACAGTACAGTAGCACACCCCTTATCCATGGTTTCCCTGCTCCAAAGTTTGTTACTTTCAGTCAACGGAGGTACAAAAATATTAAATGGAAAAATTCCGGAAATAAACAATTCATATGTTTTAAATTGTACACCATTCTGACTGTTTGCTTTAAATCAAAAGGTAAAAGCTCTTGACTTAAGGAAAGAAAAAAGTCATGTGCTGAAGTTGCTAAGATCTATGGTTAAAAAAAAAAATCCTCTATCCATCAGATTGCGAAGGAAAAAGAAATCCATGCTAGTTTTGCTGTCACATTTCAAACTGCAAAAGTTATGGACACAGTACATGATTTAAGATGGAAAAGCCATTAAATTTGCACGTAAAAGACATTAACAGAAACATATTCCGATCGACAGAAATTGGGTTTGGTATCATTTGCAGTTTCAGGCATCCACTAGGGTCATGGAACATCTTCCAAACAGGTAACAGAGGACCACGATATTTAATAGTTGACTAATCCGTACATCTCATAACTTTTCTGTGAACTTAGCTGTCACTGTATTTCTAATTCTTCAATTCTGAAAAGCTTACTTAACTTATTCAATGACGGCATTTTCCCTGTTTCCACCCCAAAATAAACAGTAATCTTTAAAAGCATAATTTTTTACCTTCCTTTCTCATGATTTAAACTTCGTCACTTCAGTTATCAGAAAATAACTAAAATCTACATTTCTAGTGCTAATCTTTTCCCTGAGCTTTACACTGATTATTTGACAATATAATAATCAAGTCTACCAAAAGTAAACTTTCTGTGTATCTGCCTTCATCCCCAATTACATTTCTCCTGCCTGTGGTCCCATTTCCTGTTATTTTTAGCAAGAATAGCTCACAACTTTAAAAGACAAGGTTTTAATGAAGTAAAAAGTTATGCTCCCAAGTTAACACCTAGCTTCTTGCAATTTTAGATTTTAGCATGGCTTAAGTTGAAGTATATGCAGTAATAGTTTTTTGTAAGTTAACTCTTATAAAACCAAAGTGTCATGGAGCTGTGCATTTGTTTTATAATTGTAACCCATTTCTGGTCCTCTGTAGAAAATTCAGATTAACAGTAGCAGCCAACGCTCAAGAGCACTAACCATGTATTATATATACCATTTTAAGATCCTCACATACATTAACTCACTGAGTCTTCACAACAATGTCATGAAACGCTTTAGGAACACTGGAGTTTATGTGAGTAATCCATTCTGGAGCTGTGCAACATGGCAACTCTGAAGTATGTATTCATTACAGTATTATCTTTTCCAATTTAAAGAGGACATAGTATTATTTTTCCTATTTTAGAGAATAGGGCACTGGGGCACTAACACTTTAAGTCTGGCTCTAAAACCCATACTGTTAATGACTAAACTTGTAACATCTCTTAGAAGTTATTTTTCAAAAATATATTCATAACATATAGCCCCATCAAGTTATCACCTATACTTGAGAGGAGTTATCACCTATACTTGAGAGGATGAAATCTAAATCCCAGACCTCTTAATTCCCATTCCATTACTTCGTCAATTAAACTAAAAACAGTGTGATAATTTAGTTACTGACGCTAAAAACAGAGCCTCCATAAAAATGTTTACCTTACTAAACTGCGACTTCTAAAATGTGTTAAATAAGAAAAATTCCAATTCCTATATAAATTATCCTATAGTACTTTTAAATAAAACACCACTTGAAGGATTTCATATGAAGAAAATACTTACTTTACTGTTTTACTATATTGTTCTTCTGGCTGAGACTGGTCAAAGCCATGCTGATCTTCAAACAAAGCCTGGTGAATGCTACACTGTTCTTCAAGCAATGGCTGGTCAACTTGTTCTGACAAAGGATGGTCAACTTTTCTTGGTTGCTTCCTAAGTCTTTCTTCTTCAGCTAAATAGAGATGTTTCAGATTATCTGGGTATCGATCTGTGAATTGAGACTCCGGCGACGTTTGAGCCTTCTTTTCCTTCCGTAGCAATTTCTTGTAACTTTTCTGAATTCTCAGTTTTCTTCGAAAGGCAAAGCCTTGTCCTACGTTGAGGAATATCATCCAAAATTACTTTCAGAGAAAAGAGATTGAGCAAACAATGAAGCTGTTAATTACAAATGAAAACCATTTTTTAAAATATGTCGTTCCATTTACATGCTAGGATTGTTTTGCTTTAAAAGATTATTTCAAGCAACAAATTTAAGCAGATGGATTCCATAGCAAGTTGGCCCTTTGCAAAAAGACCAGGCTAACAGTCGTGCAGACACTGAAGTAAGAATCTCAAAGAAAAACTGGCCAGCTCAGACTGCTGTACAACTTGAGTTTATAGCTGTATTCACAAATTAAAACAAAATCCTTAGTTCATTTAAAACATTTAATCTGGGCCTTCAATAAATACTTAAAATATATTTTAAAAAGCCACCTCTAGTATTTTATCTTGGACAAACTACTACGTATGTTTTCGAAAATATTTCAACGCGAAAGAAAAACACAGTGTATGGTTGTCTGAAAAGCTAGCAATTATCGGAAGACTGAATTTACTTAACATTTATATATTTTGAGTGGGATCTGAGGGACTTTACAGACAGCAAGACAAAGGACAAACACAAAGTAAAGCAAAGGAGAGGAAGATAGGTAAAAGAAGACTTCAGGGCCACTCGACTATTTGTAATAAGGAAGGATTCGGAGCAATATGTTTCTAGCCCAGTCTTCTCTACCCAAAAGTATATACGTAATATACAGGGAACGCAAAGACGCTCTCTGCTCAGTTTCTCAAGAAAAATACAGAAAAAAAGTTCTGATGAAACACAGGGTTATGTCAGGGAAGACGTTTAACTAATTAAAGTTACCAACACTGCTCCGTTTTCCTATCTAGAGCTCTACGAAGTTCACAGCTTCAGCGGGCTAAGGAATGGCTTGCCCTGCCCCATGTGGGACCGGATCTTGTTCCCAAATCCCTCAAAGCTTCGGCGGGTCTGGTATCCTAAGACAGAGAAAGCCTGAGGACTTGCAAATAGTTGCCTTCTTACATACCCTCGCGAACACTCCCCACGAAGGTTTGCGGATGGTTAGGCCGCCATGACTTCTGTTTCACATTCTTATTCCTGTACCCGACAGGTGAAAGCCCTTCACCACGCGCCTCAAAACCACCAAGCCGGCACTTCCCTGCCCGCCTCACCGGCGCCATTGCAGCCGACCACCTGCGTCTCCAAAAGACCACAACGGACGCCCACAAAATACGTCACCAAGTCGAAGCAATCAATTGCTCAGCAGAAATCCGGCTCGGAGCTCTACTGAGCCTGCCTGTGCTAATCTGAGCCGAGCTGGCGCCTCACGGCCATGTTTGCGCCACCTACAGCCTGGGAGGGTGAGCGTCATGGCGGCTTCTTGCCCTCTCCCGGTGACCCCGGACCTGCCCACGCTGCGTGCCAAGTTGCAGGGACTGCTGCGGTTCCTGAGGGACACCCTGTCCATTTCCAACGCACATACGGTGGATTTCTACACAGAATCCGTGTGGGAGGAGCTGGTCGACTTGCCCCCGGAGACAGTGCTGGCTGCACTGAGGAAATCAACTTCGGAGGCGGAGGCCCGGCTCTTAGAGGCGCGCCCCCTAATGGAAGCAGAGGAGGAAACAGGTGGGTGGTGGGGTAGGCGGGGCGGGAAGGGAGGCGGAGGAGAAGGTCCCAACCGGCGAAGTGAGCCCCCTAGTGGAAAGCTGCAGAACCGGGTGCGCGGCGCGGAGGTGGGGCGACCGCGGCCGGGGGCGGGGCGGCCCTCCGGAAACCGAGGAGGGGTCGGATTACTTGAGGGAGAAGCAGGGATGTCGTTTGGAATCAGGATCTGCCTTTCTTTGGGTGCTTATGTATTTCCACAATTTAAAGAAAGCAGGAAACAGGGCAGGGGAGTTCCTTCGTCTAATAATTCGATAATAGTTGACGCGAGGGAAACTAGGGTAGCAGTGCTGTCACGGGGTTTATAAATTCTAGGTGGAATCCTCCACCAAGTGGTAGAAGATTACTCAACAGTTAATGAAGTAAAGATAATTTCACATGGTGGTAATGAAGTAGAAAATAAAAACACTGTAATGTGATAGGGATTGTATAAGGAGGCTGCCTGAATTTAGGAGGTCAGGAACACGAGAAGGCACCAGCCTATAGAGCCACAGAAAGGGGTTGCGGGTTGCGGGTGGCGGGTGGCGGGAACCGCAGGCTACACTTGGCTCTAGCCAGGTGAGGGGCTGCAGGTGCAGGCCCGGAGGCAAGCAGAGGCCAGTGGCTCAAGCCTTTCTAGGCTTTGGAAGGATTTTGGATTTGAAGTGTGATGGAAAACCTTTGGGGTTATTTAGACAACATAGTGATCTCATTGACATTTGAAAAGATAACTGAATTATTTGAAGAATAGACTAGTGGGGCAAAAGCTTAAGCTGAGAGGCCAGTTAGGAGACTATTTCAGTAGTTAGGAGACTATTTCAGATGATTGCTATCTTGGATTAGGATGGTATTCGGATATTCACTTTTTCATTTAAAAACTATTTTAAAGTATCCAATATGTCATGAATTTATGTAGGCTCTAGGTTTTCCTGCCTTGAGGAAATGTAGTATTTTAAGGCAAGTATATTTTGGAAGTAGAATGATGGATACCAAGAGGCTCCTGGGATTTTTACTTTCCTTCTAACCAAACTTACCCTTGTTAGTGAACTTTATCCGTTGAGCATTCTCTAAATGCAAAGCATCACTAGAGGGACCTCTTATAATAGCACTTGGTAAATACTGGTTTCTTTAAAGTCATTGTTATTGAAAAGTTAGGCACTTCTTCAGTTTGCTTTCATAATAAATATATGGCACGTATGATAACATGACAATTCTACTTAAACTCCAAAAGAGCAGTCTGTGTCTGACTTGTCAACTGATGTTTCCCCAGCACTTGGTAAAATACTTGGCATACATTCAATACTGGATAAATATTTGTTGAATGAAGGAATTTATGAATTACTCATGTTAGTTTTAAATAAATAAATAAATGAAACTACTCTCAAGGTTAGAGGCTAAGACTTTCATATGTGTTTATAAGCTTGATCTCCATACAATGGTAGAGTTAAGTTGTCTTACATATCGTAATAATAATGATTGGATTAATTGATATTTAGTATATACCCTGTAGTGTGCTAAGTATCTATGTATATTTTCTCTTTTAATCTTTACATCAGCCTTGCAAGATAGGTTCTGTTATTTTCTCTTTGTGAAATTTTTTATAACAAGGAGTTAATTTGCAAGGGACACAGCTTTATAAATGGAAGATTCAAACCTCATCATTTGACTTTAATCTGAGCTCATCACCACCATCATAAAAATCTACTCTGAATTATTTAACAATTAATTACCAAGTCCATTTATTATCATAATCAGTATTTAATGACACACATTCCTTGTTTATTTTTTAATTGTCTGTTCCTCCCTTTAAGAATGTAGGAATTGTTTTGTTCATTGCTGTATCCTTCGTGCCTAGAACAATTAGATCAATGCCTCATTACATTAGGTGGTTAATAAATACTTAGCAACGAGTAATTGAATAATACCACTTATTTGTTCTTTTAAGCTAGGAATAAAGTGCTAACATCTTTTGGGAAAACCTTACAACCAATTTTGTATCTATCCAACAACAATGGAATTTAGGTTAGTTAGTGCGCCTGTGGAATGTCTGTGGTCCTGCAAACTTTTTTGTACAAAATATTCCATTGTAAAAATGGTCAGCTGCTTGTAATATTAAAAAGAGTGAGTGTTTATCATTTGTGCGTGTCAGAAATCTTCATTTTTGTTTGTGTGAAGATGGACATTTTTCCCCATTACTATATGAGATCGATTGTTCCTATCAGAAGAGATATTAGTATCCTATAAGCAGATTTGTATCCTATTGAATAATTATTAGCTATTATGGACAGTATATTTAGCAGTTAAATATGGTGTCAAATAGGGTTCCAATTCCAGTTCTGCCTTTTCCAGTTCTGTGATCTTGGGGAATTTCAATTATTCATTCAGTCAGCGAACATTTACCAAGTGTCAGCTCTGTGCCAGGCACTTTTCAAGGAGTTAGGAAAACAGCAGTGCATAAAACAAAAACCCCTACCTTCGTCTTGCTTGCATTCTAGTGGGAGAAGATAGTCAAAATTATTTTAGTGCTATAGAGAAAAAAAAGTTTAATAGGTAAGGGTGGAGTAAATAAGGGGAAGAAGAGGAAAATACATTTGCAATTTTAAGTAAGTTGTCCTGGCAAGACCTCATTAAGGTAACTCTAACTCTGAAAAGATAAGAAAAATGAGGTATGAAGATATCTGGAGGGAAAGCATTCCATAGTGTGAGAACAGGGAACAGAAATGCACTGAGGAGGGAGCCTGCATGGTGTGTTTTAGGAGCTGCATGGAGACTGAAACAGATTTCCACTAGGGACTCACAAGGAGCATGGTCTTCTGCTGATATTGTATGAGGAGTTACAAGTAAATGTAATTCCCAGAGCTGCATGCACAGTTTGGAAAAGTACACTAACAGATGTTCAGCACAATCATTTGCTGTTTTATGGAACAAAATTGTTTCTAAAAGTCCTCAGGGTATCCATTTCAGTAGGTTTCTTGTGCCAGGTGATCTTCTTGTCTGGTTAGAGTCCTAAAAGTTTCTTCTTCCTTGTTCATCTAAAAAGAACTGGAAGAATAAAATTTAATTCTCCAAAATTAAAAAGAAATATATTGGAAATTACCTTTGCAGGGCATAAATTATGACTTTCCAGACAGACTGCCTGGGTTCAAATCTTGACTCCAACACTTACTAGTTGTGCTAACTTGAACAGTTTGCTTCAACTCCTTGTGCATTAGCTCCTCATCTGTAAACTGGGGTGACTTCAGTACCTACCTGATGGGATACCGTGAAAGGTAGTTTAGCTAATAGATAGAAAGGGATATCTTTAAGGTGTTATGAACAGCAGATGCCCAAGCTGGAGCATGCTTGGTGCATTGTAAACACAGCAGAGCGGTCCTGGTGAGACCGGAAAGAGTTGGGATTTGGAGGTGGTCTAGGACAACTTCACATGAAGTTTGTAGGCTGTATTCAGTACTTGGCTTTTATTCTGGGTGAAACGCAAAGCTCTCTGAGGATTTTGTGTGGTGATGTGATACACTGTGATTTATGTTTCAAAGTCTGGTTGCTCTGTGTGGAGAAGAGAGGGTAAGAAAGGTGAAGGAAGGTAAGGGAAGAAACACAATTACAATATAAGAGGCTATTAAAATAGTCCAGGAACATTTCAAGGAATGGCAGCTTGAAGAGGTCAGATTCTCCAGCAGATAACAATGATGAAAACTAGCTAGATTATTAAAAACAACTATAAGATTCTGGAAAATGACCAAAGGCAGAAATATAAGAGGCTGCTATTGAAAGACTGTTACTGATTGTGTAGGAAGTGAGAGTTTATGGCTTTCTCGCTAGGGCTGCTCCCCACCCCTATAGATCTAGCAGTGGAATACCACATTCTTACTACTTTAAGGTGGCGAGGGCTAAATTTGGAGATCCGAGCAGGTGGAAATTTAAGAGGTACATTCTGGAAACAGGAGAGATACAAAAGGTCTGAGATCTAAGATCTGAGTATAAACTCTGCCTGAATCCCTGAATGATCTCTTATCTACACATGCCTGGAAGACCCAGAGATCCTAGCAAAAACACTGGTAAAACAAGGCAGGTGTTGAACTTTTGAGAGGCAGAGCTTTCCCCTAGCTAGAGATTTGCAAGTTTGCTGCACCTTCAGCAGAGTGTATTCCCTAAAGTACACACAACTTGGGTGGTAAATATCAGAAGCCTTATTGAATTCTTGTATGAAAGGGCAAAATTCAAGTTTGTCAAAACAACTGGAAATTTAGACTAGGGAATCTTTGAATTGGAAACAAAGGAACCACAGAAAGAGTGAGCCTCAAAATCTGACTAGAAAATCTACCCACATCTTGATCTGACTGCTAAACTCTGTAGGTTCAGGTATATTGCCAGGCAGTGGGCAGATAAAGCAGAAACAAAGCAGAGACATCAGCTGCTGCACTCTGAAGGGGGATAGATTTCACAGTTTGAGTCAAAGCAAGTTGAAATAGACCAACCACCACAAATCCTTAGGAAAACAAAATAGATTCACTACAATAAATTATCTGCCATTCCACTTTGCAACTAAAAAAAACCTACTAGATGTGGAAAAAAAAAAAAAGAAAGAGTGACTCTAACTTAAGAAACTGCTTCCCAGTAAGTTCTAATGCTGGATTTTAGTACCTGTGATGAAATAATTAAAGGATGGTGTGACCCATATTTAGGAAGAAAAGAATAAGTCAATAAATGCTGATACTAATTGGGCTAAGATGTTGGATTTAAGTGGCTTTTATAAATATGTTCAAACGACTCAAAGAAAATGCACTGGAAGAATGAAAGGAAACTATGGTATTAAGGAATATTTAATTATAGTACCTACTTTATGCCCCTTTTAAATGGAAAAGTACAAACTCACTGACACACAATTGTATTAATGTTACATATTATCTATTGCTGCATAATGAGTGGCTTAAACCTATACCATC